CCGTGGTGGGCAGAGCACAGATAGTCCATTGTGTAGCTTTGTGCTTAACTACAAAGAAACAATCTATTTGATGGATCATAATTCTTCATGATTTTTTTTTCATAATTGAAAGTCATAATTTTGGTCAGAAAGAAATTTGGACATTTGTTTCACTGGTGATTTTTTATTTGTTTCATACTTGATTAATCTTTTTAATACACTCATGCCTGCACAGTAATTTATTGCACAAATTGATAGGTCTTAATTTTACATAATATTTTTCTGTTTGGAATATAATAATTTTATTTAATGCATTTTTGATTGATGGGTCATAATCTATCATAAATGTTTTCATGATAGGAAGCTATAATTTTTTTCTATTGATAGTGAATTGGTCTTAATTTTATCTAATACTAATTACTGTGTACAAGTAATATATTTGTGATTTATCAGCCATAATTCATATTAAGAATAAACTTTAACTTGTGGATGAAGAGTGATTGAATAATGTAGATTACTTGAATTTACATCAGGTCAATGAATAGTAATTAATTTTATGTGTTGATATATTTCTCTTAATGAGTGAAGTTTATGTTAAATTTTGAACTTTTGTTTGGCTTTTTTTTATTATATATTATATGCTTTAGGCAGAATAATATTCTGTAAGACTTCACACAGGCACCTAACTTTCAATTTACAATAAAATGCTTATTAAAAGTTTAATGTAGCAACATTTACCAGGGATTTTTCTAACAAGTCATAAAATACTAGTCTGAAATGTGATCTAAATATTGCAGGTAATTGTATGCTGGCTTAATCACGTTAGATATTATTGGGAGTATGTCTAAAAATGTTAATAGGAGAAATACTCTGCTGATGATTCAGTGCAAGCTATTATATGTAATTTTCTGATGCATTGATTTTGTCATACCAAATGTTATTTAAAATTAGTTTAATTCTGGTCTTCATAACTCACTGCTAATCAGAAACTCTTGATAAAAAAAATCTAAACTACTGTGAGGGTAATGATGAATTTTCTTTAGCATTCATACACATGTAAAGTTACATATTCTTGAAGAACTCTTTGTAAAAACTATGCTGGATTTTCAGTTTTCACATTAATATACTGTATTTTTTGCAGCCTTCTTGTGACTCTGCTTTAAGCTCGTTAGTCAAAGGATTACCGGAAGCTTTATTGCGCCAGTATGAATATGAAGACCCTATTGTGCGTGGAGGCAAACATTTGATGCACAGTGATTTTTTCAAAGTAAGAGTTGATTTGATGTCAAAAACTAGCAGGAATGTTTTTGGTGAAAATGATAATGAACTGTAATCCTTTCAGATCAACATTAATATTAAACATTCTTGTTTGAGTGTTTGAAAATGAAGATTTCATGTTTATTTATAGCTGATTTATCATTACTAAAATTATTAAAAAATTTTCAGTTCTATTTTGTATGCCACTTACAATATTTTTGATGAAATAGGTCCTGATAAATGTTTTTATGCATTGTAATATGTATAATATTTGATTTATCATATAAGATGACTTCTATGTGAAGTATAATTTTATATAACGAAATATATGAATATTGATGTTTTTTAGAAGCAAGCTATGACAAATCCTGAAAAAGAAAATTAGCTGTTCGGTTTATTTAGATTGATCAAGATAGTTAAGATATAGTATAATCAAGACAGTAGAAAAATAGTACAATATACTACAATGTGTTTTTATTGTTAATGCTATTTCTAGGTTTTGGTTGCACTTGCATGTGATCTAGGTCTAGATTCTCTACCTTGTTGTAGCGAGAATCATCGCTGGTTGTGGTTTCGCCGTTATTGTATGTCAGCTCGTGTGGCTACTGCTTTGATCAACAGGATGCCTTTGCCAACAGATTTCTTAGATGAAGTACGCAAGAAGCTCCATGAGATGATTCCAGAAGATGAACTTCTCACTACAGAACATGAGAACCACACCATTTTTAAACAGGAACATGATGAGCAACTTATTTTATGGGTGAACAGGTAAAGTGAATATTTTAAGAGTCGTAAGGCCTGTCAATAAAACATGTAAAAATGAGTACATAAAAACAACTACAGTAAGTTTAAAAAATGAGAAAATTAATAAAAACAAGATTTCTTGCATTCTGGTCTAGAAAGAATCCACCTGTTAGAAAGTAGTAATTCTCTTTTTACATAACTTTTTATATGTTCTTAGAAACATGATTTAAAGCTTACATGAGTGCAGGTATTGATTATTTTGTGACTTATGTGTATGACATTGATTAACCCTTTAAGGACGGGCATTGTGATGCCATGCTCCTACACCGACCACAAAAAAAAGGAAAAAATAGCCGATTCGTATAAGTACATTTATTTACAATCGTTTTTACATAGTAAGAAACATTAAAATAACAAATTTCATTACTCTGCAAACTAATAACAAGATTCTAACCGAGTTTTCTAAAAGGTTTTTCATGTATGATAAATTCTAAAGCAGCTACCTAAACATAGACCAACCTTGCATTCTGGACACCATGTTGTAACATAGGTAGTCTTTTTTTTCTCCCTTGCTAGTATTAGAACATACAAAACATCTGTGTTGACACTTTTTTTAGTTCCTGTTGAAAGTACATGGTCAGGATAGTGTCTTTCCATAAAATTTACAGCACTCAGCCTATCAATGTTACCACTCACTGTTCTACTCGGCCTAACAGTAGTCAAGGTAACATATTTTTCAAGAAGTTGCCTTATAAACTCCCTAATGAAATCTTTGAATTTCAAACGGCAATCTCCTGTTTTGACTAGGTACATATTATAAGCATTTAGCACAAGTAGGTCCATCAGATGGAAAAAAAAGCTTCTTGTACCACTTTACAGATTTTCTAACACATTCTGTGGTGGCTAATTGTATGTCAGCTTTATCAATAAGCTGCATATTCTGAGTGTAATCAACTACACAATCAGGTTTTTTGACAATTTCATTTGATTTACCTTTTCACTGTTAACCATTTGTCCTTTACGAAAAGTGGTAAACATTGTCACATTACGTTTATCATGCCAACATATAGCCAACAAATTACCACTTTTCTTCCTTTCACATTCCCCAGATTTCAGCTTAGCAAACATTCTTCCTGTTTTCTCTTACGGTTCCACAAGAACCAATATTACGTGAATTCAAAAACAAAGATAGACCAGGACTAGAGTACCAATTATCAATGTGCAACAGGTGGCCTTTCCCTTCATATTTTTGTATCAGTTTCTTCACAATGGCACCTGAAGCCCCATGATGATCTTTTTAGTAACATCAGTATCAGTACCTGTATAAACAACAAAATCCAAAATAATTCCTGTTTCACAATCACAGAAAACTTGGATTTTTATTCCGAATCTATGACACTTTGACAGTATGTATTGCTTGAATATCAATCTCCCCTTGAATAACATTAGGGATTCATCAATTACAATTTTTTGAAATGGACAGAAAAAAGCAGAAAACTTTTCCTTCAAAATAGAATTCACTTCCCTTATCATCCACAATCTATCACTTTCATCAGGAAGTCATTATCAGCAAAATGAATGTCCCTAAGTAGTTCAAGGAACCTGTCTCTGTTCTTGTATTTTCCAAAAAATCTGTAGCAATCATGGCATCTTTTGACCGGTACTCTTTTATTGTTCTTTTTTTTCACATGAGACATTAGTAAAGTAAGTGCAAAAGAAGAGTACATTTCACCAATTGTTGTCTCACTCCAACACTGGCTTTTTGCCTTTTGATGTACATCATAATTGTGTACACAAAATTCACGATACATATTAGTATTGTCTACAATCGTCTTCATAAGTTCACTATTGAAATAGGCTAGAAAATTTTCAGTAACGGGTGCATTCTCTTGAATAGGAAATGAATCGCAAATTCCTGTATTTTCGTTAGAGAATGAATGGTCATGAGGCACAAAATCATCCCCATTCTTCCATGTAATGTTACCAGTATCACTATTATCTGAATGTGCCTCAGGCTCACTTTCATCACTTGAAATATTATTGCTATCTGAAGAAATGTCACTCAAATCAGACAATTCTTCTTCATCACTCCATTCATCTATAATTTTACACATTGATTGAGGGCTAAAAGGGCATCTTTTGGTACGCGTGAATGAGGATGACATAGACGGTTTGTCCATGGTGAACCAATAACTGAAAGAAAATTTATCTAATTCAAATACAACTCATTGTTTTACAGTAAATACAGCCTTCTATAAATAGATATTTCATTTGCTAGCATGTGATGATGTAGAGGTAGCTGGATGGTTCATTGTATGGTATCTAATGATGTAAAGGTGCTTATCTAATCAAATTATGATTTCAAAAATGCATTAACCAATGAAAGCAAACAAAAGAAAGAGAGTGGAGCCATAGTGGTTTTAAAACTACACCTATCTTTAATAAATAGGAATATGTGTTTATATGCCTCACCCGGCTCTCAAGCAAGATACATAAAGTGTTTATTTACCATACCCGACCTTAAAGGGTTAAAGCTACTGAATTTTTATTTATTTAAGATTAACATAATGATTGAAGTTTGTGGAAAATTTTCTGTAACCCAAGTTGTAAACGTTTTTTATAACACAGGTTTACATCTTCTGTTTCTATTTAGGTTTCTTGAATTTTGTTATTTTGAAAATAAGTTGGTGTATTGCTTCTACATCTGCTGTTTCCATTTAGATTTCTTGAATATTTATACACTAAAAATTCAGTGACTTGGTAGTCAGTATAATGCTTCTATTGATAAAGTCCTAATATTGTTTCTTGTAATCAAATTTGTGTTAAATTTAAAAGATGTCAATCCTATCAGGTTTAGTGTAGCATTATTTTTTTTTCAATTTTGATGTAGTATAATATGTAGTGTCACCTACAGCTTTTACAAGTGCCTCTTGAGGACCTGGTTTTGGTGCTGGATGTTGTGTTAGGTTCATTTAGTGTCTCAATTGTATCTTTTGAAGCTCTAATGATTTTGAGCCAAGCACAGTCTGATGATTAGCATGCTAGACTGTGGATTCAAGAATCTGTGGCTTAGGCTTACTTACTGGCAAAAACAAATCTCACTTCTAACTTTAGGGCCTTTGGTGTATAAAAGTGTTGGTTAAATTCCACTATTCAATTAGAATAGCCCACAAATTGACAGTGGATGGTGTTGACCAGCTGATTTCCCTCTCGTATATCACTTCAAAATTAGAGATGACTAGCACAGGTAGTCCATGAGTAGCTTTGTGCAGAAATTAACATACAACAACAACAAATTCTAATGTTTTAAATTTTTTGTGGGGAAAAAAAAAGTATCTGAGATCACCATATAGTTAAAATGTTCTACTGGCAAGTTTATGTTTTGTATGAACAGTTAAGTTTCTTATCAGTGATGAACTCATCACAGTATCTTTCGAGTACTTGAATTGTTGCATGTAATATCAAAGAAGTTTAATGTTTCCCAAAGTGAAACATTTAAACAGAACTCGTCATCCTTAGAGTGGCATTAAATTTCTTAATCATTTTGTGTTTTTATTCAGGAGACCAGATGACTGGACAGTGGCTTGGGGAGGTAGTGGTACTATTCATGGCTGGGGTCATAATCACCGAGGTCAGCTTGGAGGTGTTGAAGGAGCCAAAATTAAACTCCCCACACCATGTGAAGCTCTCACTGCTCTCAGACCTGTACAGATTGTTGGGGGAGAGCAAACCTTGTTTGCTGTGACTGCTGAGGGCAAGGTAAGGGTAGACTTACCTTTTTTGTAATACAAGGTAATTGAAGAAGAGTTTTTATGTATATAATAAAGCTAATTACATTCTGGATCTTATAAGAAAAAAAATAACTTGTAGCTACAGCTTTAAATGATATGTATTTAAGTCTCATTTTTTCTGTTCACTAGTTTCCTTTTTATTTTGATTGTTATTATCAACTCTATATCAAATACTCTTTTCATTAAAGAAACTCGGTACCTGTACTTTTTTATTCTTTTATGATTTCTAGGTGTTAAGTCTTGAAAAGTGAACTGTATGTATCCCATTTATCCTTTTCTGAATTTAGACTTGTTCATTATTTGAAGAAAAACATGGTGGGCTCAAAGTGATTTTCATACCTTTCCTAAATTAATCCAAAATTGAATTAAATATATGCAGTTTAATACCTGTAGCTCTGCCTCTTCTGTATCAGATATGTTGTGTATTTTATTTTTAGATGATTACACGAACTTCCATATTTTATTTTATTTATTAAACTTTCTGAGTTATGCCTTTGTCTGCTAGGATGATATTTATTAAAAATATTTTCTCACTTTTTGACTCAACTTGTTGAAGTAATCTGCCATTTAACTGTCATTTGTATATTATAGGGCAAGTTTAGTCTATAGTCACAATGTGATTTGCTTGTTAAGTTAGTCAGTTTTTCATCTGTTTAAGTAATATTTTAGGTTATTAAAATTTTGTTTCATGCACTTTTCATGATTTATATTTCTCATCTGTTTCTTATAAGATATTGCTTTATAAGCATATTGAGGTAAAACAGATTTGTTCTGTTAATTCAGAAGAACTCTGGTTTCCTTTCTACTAAAATAATGTTTTACCCCTTGTTGATGAAAAAAATGTAAGAGGCATATTAAATTTGATATATTGAATAAATGATGCTCATTTCTGTTGTCAGTTCCTCATCATATAAAATGGTCATTAGTGGATAAAATCTGTCTTGTGGATTTAAGAATATATAAGCTCATAAACTATCTTTCATATTGTACATTAAGCCTGATTGACTCAAGTTTGTCTCATAATGTTAATGTTTAACTTGTATTTCTGAAATGGTCATACCTCTTCTTACCCAAAGCTAGCTTAATCCTGGACTGCCCTCTTAGCATTGCTAAAATATTTCACTAACAGCACATCAATCTTTTATACCCCATCAATTTCGTGCCATTTTAGAACATACTGATCATGTGACTACCCTCCACCAGTCATATTGCACCATCTGTGCTAGTTTAGCTAGCTCCCTCTACTATTTTAGAATAATCCTCACTTTCTCGATTGGCATTCTAATGTATAGACGTGTGTTTTAACTCTCTTCACATGACTACAAAATTTTGATCATGCCTGATCACAAATTTATACCAGTTTCAAATTCTTGGGTTTGATTTCCATTGTTTCTAGTCATTTGTCTTAGAAAGATTTCTTTTTTCCAAATTTTAATTTGTTCATATGAATTTGAGATATGTTGGATGATGAACTTCCTGCGACAGTCAACAGTGGTTATGACATAAGTCCCCAGGTCTCAAGGTTGACAATGTCAGCTGGGGAAGTACACGCTTTAGTTTGTGGGGAGTTCATATCAATTTCTTCCGTTCACATAACGATTTTTTGTGAGGAAGGATATCTACTAAGTGGAAATTTCATTATACTGCACCTTTCACCTGTTACCGTGCCTCCATGTAATCTCTTTTTTTCCGAAGAGATCTGTGGTAAGTTTTTCAGTATGGATTGACCTAATTTCCTCAGGTGATGATTTAAGTCTTTCATGTCATCTCTGCTCAGTATTTGGTAATTTAGATTTTTATTATTCTTTTACCATCTAAGTTACTTTATATTCAATTTGTATTTAGCATTGATTATTACTTTGTTTTGTTTGATTTTTAGTATATATATATACAGGTTTTGCACAATAGTTACTGTTTGGGCAATTGTAACTTTGGCCAATTTTGTTGGTGTGTTGTTTCAATATTTATATTTCTTTTTACTGTTCATGTTAGTTAGTTTGTAAGTTCCATTTTCTTTACTACTTGTCACAGCTAATTAGGGATTAGATTTGAGTCTAACTGGGTGCCTTTTCATTCTTGTGTTCTTCAGGGTAGATTTGACTTTCATGTACTTTGTCTTATTGGTTCTTTGAGTAGACTTAGAAGTTTGATATTTACATCTAAGTACCTTTAGTGGTTTTGTACTTTAGGTATTGCTGATTGTTTTATGTTTTACATCATATTTCATAGTTTTGCAAGTTTGTTATTTTTATGAACTTTGTACACTAAAAATTTCTAGGTTTAGTTAGTTCATTAGTAATGAGTACTTTCTCTAAGTATGTTTGATTTGTGTCTCTTTCTGGTTACACTTCGCGACAGTTCCATGGGTTCTAAGGGTTCTGTCTGAAGGTTTCTGCCTTCAGTTTTGCTCCCCCTCATCACTTCCCAGATCTCCTTCCCTCCTCCTTGGGATCGTGCCTCTTCCAGTCATCTTGCCTAATCAGTTCAAGACCTACTACACAAAGGGGCTGTCAAATGGGTGGTACCTACTCAACCAGGGTTTTACTCCCGACTAATTTTTGTCCTTCGAATGATGGGAGATTGGAGGCCCATCATAGACTTGTTCCGGTTGAACTCTTATCTAAAGCCACCTTTCCTACCTCTGACTTCAGGTTTTTTTTTTCTCTTGAGACTTTGGATGACCAAATCATCCTGACAGATGCTATCTTCATATTCCAATTGCTCCATTGTCACGTCATTTTCTTTTGTTCGTGTCTTCCAGTTCTGGGTGCTGCCATTCATTCTTTAGCTCCAAATGTTGTATTGAGTGGTACACTCTTTTGCCCATCATTTTCACTCGTTGGGTCTTTGGATGGAGTGGTCCCTTCTTCCATGGGTATTTTGGTGGGTGTTTTCTCAACTGGGAACACCAAATATAGATGTGTTTGCCATTCACTGGACTGCCAAAATTCCTTCCTTTTGGTATCTGGTTCCACACCCTTAAGCTCTGAGAGTAGATGCATTCAGTCAGGATTGGAGGGGTCTTTACTCATATGCCTACCCTCTGATCAGCCTCCTCTCTCGAGTCTTTTTTATTATCCATATCACTCCTTGTCATGTTCTGCTCATTGCTCTGTATTGGTCTGCTCAGATGTGGTTTCCTCTTCTGGCCCTTACTGGAGTGTCATCTCTTACATCTGTCCCATCTTTTTCGATAACCACAATTGGACATAGTTCATTCTGACATCACCAAACTCCATTGTCACTCATGGCTTTTGTCTGGTCCTTTGCCTCAGCTCAGGGACTTGCCTCTTGTGTAGCATTTTTCCTTTCCCATTCCATTTGACTTTCCTTCTTGTCTGTGTACCAAAGACAGTGGTCTTCCTTCAAACTTTGGTCCATTTGGCATGATTTCTGCTACTCCTGTCCTTCTTGACCTCATATTTCCCAGTTCTTTGCCTGGTTGTTTGTTCAGGGTTTGTCCATTCCTAGTTATAGGGCTGCCCTATTGAACACCTTCCAATTCTTCCATTTTCAGAAAGTCTTCCCTGTTAGTTTCCTCCTTTTCTATTCCTTTCATCTTGTCTGTCCTCCATGTCCCTTTGTTTTGCCATATTGAACCCATTGCTACATGTTCCCTGTACCATTTTTCCCTTAAGTCCCCTTATTCCCCCTCCTTGCTTGAGGTCATAGTTGTTTCGATATTGATGCCATGGATGTTTCCCGCATCCTTTCCCATTCCTCTTACGTTATACTCTATCCTGATCGGGCCTTCCTTCCCAAGACACCTGCTGTCTGAGTGGATGGTTTGGCCTTCTCTTCTATTTCCTTACTTTCCATTTTCTACCTGTACTCCAGATATTGATGCCATGGATGTTTCCTGCATCCTTTCTCATTCCTCTTATGTTATCCTCTATCCTGATCGGCCATCCTTCCCAAGATATCTGCTGTCTGAGCAGATGGTTTGGCCTTCTTTTCTATTTCCTTACTTTTCATTTTCCACCTGTACTCCTGTTCAGTTCCAGATAAGCTTCTTTGTCCGGTTTGTTCCCCGAGATGTCAGGTGGCTCGTACAACCTCATTTCATGTTATCATTCCTGTCTATTTGTTCCAATGATTCCCTCTGTGTCTTATGATCTTTCCACTATTGCATTCACTGGTTGGATTTGTCAACTCATACGACTGACTTATTCTGACTTGTCAATGGAAGGTTGCTGTCTGCACAATGTTTCTTTGCACCCATTTAGCAATCTAATTATGTCTTTAGCTGCTTGCCTTCATTGGCCTTTGGAGGAGATAGCTTTGGCTGGGATGTGGACAACTCCCAATACATTTGTCACACATTATCTGTACAACCTGGCTGTGTCTTTCTCAGTCTGGTATCGTCTTCCTCCTGTGACGATTCTACACATGTCGATTCACTTTTGACTGGGGTAAATCAACATATTACTTTTTCTCTATGATTTTAGTTGATTCATATTGTATTTCAGGATCACACCTGGTGTCAGTTGTTGCCTGGTCAGGTAAGCTTCATATTATAGTTGCACTAGATATGAATAATTCTATAATGCTCACTATTGAGATGGGGTGTTTCTGTAAGGCCACCAGCAGCTTGTTCAGTGGCATATGTATCTATATTTTTTGTACTAAAAGTTACTAGTTTCATTTATAAAGGACCATCACTCATAAACCTCATGAGTAAAGCAGATGGGGATTTCTGCCTATCTTTATGGACCCATGATTCCTATGATTGGGGTTTATCTGAATTTCAAACTAAGGAATTGCAGACACCCATTGCACTGTTTCCAGTGTGGCATTTCTCTTGACTCCCTGGTGCATATCCCCCCTTTCTTCTAGTGGAGCACAGGAGTCCTTACCACTTCCGATTCCAATTTCTGAAGTTAACATTTTCTTCCACTGAAAATGTACTTCCAACAGGTATTTACAGTAGAACCTCAATATTAATGACACCCTTCCAACTGCATCCAAATGCTTTCTCTAGCAAGATGCCCTTAATATCAAAAATGAGCTCGCAAAGCTGGATTCCATATTGACTATACTAAATTTCTGAATTCTAAGGCCCACATTTTGTTTGGTGTATGCACTTAAAGCCATTTTTGTTATATGTATTTAAGCAGTGTTTGTGTGTATACTGTAAAAAGCTTAAATAAATGGAACAAAGTTTTTACTACAAGAATTTCCTAGAGTAATAAGATTGCACTTTGAATCTGTGAAAATGCTTATTACAGTATATGGTTCGAGGTCAGTTCAATAAACATCGCAAGTATTTGAATATTGATCATCCTTCTGAGATGTTTGGAATTTAGCAGTATCCTGTACAGGCATACAAAGGAATTTTTGCACATAGTTACAAGATTCTATTTCCTTTTCAGCACACTTCCTTGTCAACCAATAAATACTCTTTATTCACAAATGCTTAAATTTTAGTTATTTTTATTAAAACATAGAAGAAAAAATAAAAAAAGACTTTGAAAAACAAAGATTTTGAGTACTTACAGTGTTATGAGTAATAGTAAAATTATTTAATAAAACTTTGAAAATAGCTCTCTAAAAGGTCATGACATGTGTACTTTAACCTGCCCATTTATTTTTTTCATTCCAAATTGATTCCATGAAGTACTGATAGAAATCATATTATATGTTTTCTCTTAAAACAAACGAGTGTAACAATATTATAAAAATAGTGTTTTTAGCTATATTTTATAGTTTATGCAAGGCTAGATTAGAGAGATAGACACACAGTTTCATAATTATCACTTTCACCATTGATGACTTTAACTTTTTGCATGGTTGTGTATTTGTATTTATTTGGTTATGTTTTTGAAGACTGTTATGCTATTCACCATTATTAAACATGTCACAAGGTTTACTTACTTACTTATACTTTGTTGTATTTCAGGTGTATGCTACAGGTCATGGTGCTGGAGGACGACTTGGTATAGGAGGCACAGAGTGTGTTTCTAACCCCACCCTAATTGAAAGTATGCAGCACATCTTTATTAAGAAAGTAGCAGTTAATTCAGGTGGCAAACACTGTCTAGCTCTTTCTGCAGAAGGAGAGGTGTTTTCATGGGGAGAAGGAGATGATGGAAAATTAGGTCATGGAAACAAGAGGTCAATCAATGTTAATTCTTTAACAGGATCAACATTTTTTGTTTTTTAACATGCTAATAATTCTTGAATTATTTTATATTTAAAACATCCAGAAAATAGATATTAGATTTGTAGTTGTATAGCAGTAGATAAAATAAATTCCTGTTTAATTAATTGGACAATGCTTGTTTTACCCTTTCCGTACTGGTCGGGAGTCGGAGCATGTCATCGTGTTTTGTGAACTTACATTCAAAATTTTATTAAACTACTATTTTATGAAGGTAAGTCCATTAATTTGGAATCAAATTTTAGTATTATACATTATTAACTTTCTTAGTTCAACAGTACATATTACAAAAATTGCTAAATAAACATTTTTTTTTTGTTGTTGTATGTCAAATAATATATCATTTTCTGCATTTGCTCAGATTATATAGTGGGCATCATAAAAGGTAAAGAAAAAGTTTATAATGAATTAGAAACTAAAATTACCAGTATTTACAAGCTAGAGTATAAAATCAAGAACCTCTTGCCTTTTCTGCTTGCAGGGATATTATTATATTTAGTGAACCCACCACAGTGGCTTTGCCCATCTTTTCCTCTTTTGAAAATACTTGTTTACCTATACTCAATTACATGTTTATAACCAATCGAAAGCACTCATTTTGAAGTACATAATTCTGTCAGTTTCCCTAAAGTAATTATGTGGGTAAAGCTGTTATTGCCATTGCAGAGTTTGAAGAGTGATGATGAAGGTGATATGCTGATAGGAAATGAGACTTTTTAGATCCAGATTCAGCTTAGTTAGAAAGCTTGATAAGTTACAGTAGAGTTTTGTGGTATCAGTATAGTAATTTATAATTTTTTGTTATTTCAAAATACATATATAAAACCTGCAACAATTATTTTTTTCACATCCTACACATGTGAAATTCAGTTTGGTTTAGCAAGTATTACGTACGAGTACAAAAGAATTTTGTAACTAGTAGACATCATTGTTTTCTATGTATTTTATATTTACTGTTCTATGTTTTAAGAAAAATAATTAAAGTTTAAAAATTCATTTGTAAATAGTAATGATATATATACATATGTAGTGTATGATAATTGAAATGTGATTGCATTTTACAAAATACTGGCATGCTAGTACTAAGACTAAGAAGAGTAAGACATTTGTACTTTGTAAAGGCCAGTTTTATGCTATTCGATATGGTAACATGAGCTGCACATGTACTGTGTGATTTACAACTTATGTGTGCAATTACTAGTCAGACATGGTTCAAAGGTCAATAAAACAAAGAATTAATAAATATAAATAGATGTATATGATTATGAGACTTAACCTTATGACTGCTGTTGCACTCTTTAAATTCCTTTATGCACATGTCACAAAGTGTTACTGAGTTACATTTAAAATTTAATTAAATTACTTTACTATCAATGTATTAGGTCATCAAGAAATTAATGTCGCTTTTTTTTAGATGAAGAAACCCGAACAACATATATCAAAGCAAAACATTTATAAATGAAATAGTCTCCATTCTTATCTATGATGCTTTTCCATCTTACAATCAGATCGTTAATGCCCTGATTACAGAAATCACTTGGCTTTGAAGCAAAAAACATGTTGATGTCCTCTTTAACACCTTCAACATTTGCATACGTTTTCCTATTAAGATGGTTTTGCAGCAAATGAAAAAGATGGTAATCTGATGGTGCATATCTGGAGAATATGGTGGGTGGGGGAGAACTTCCAAACCCAACTCCATAATCTTGTGTTGCGTAAAATGTGCCACACGTGGATGAGCATTGTCGTGGAGAAAAAGACCGCCTTTCTGATTGACGAGTGAAGGGCGTTTCTGATGAAGGGCTTCATTTAAATGTTCCAGTTGCTGACTTTAGATCTTTGCATTGACAGTTCATCTTGGATTGAGGAGTTCGAAATGAATTACTCCTTTGATATCCCACCAAATGCAAAGCATCACTTTCTGCAGATGGAGTCCAGGTTTTTGGATCAGAAGTGGTTTTTGTCTAGGACTGAGCCATTATTTTTGGCATTTAATATTTGCATAGAGAATCCATTTTTCATCACCGGTGACAATTCTGTCCAAAAATGCTCTACGTGCATTACGTGCCAGACGAGATGAAGCAACGTTCATACATTGGAAATGATGATCATCGGAGAGTTCGTGAGGCATCCAAACACCTTCTTTATGGAGTTTCCCATATTCCTTAGATGTTTACGTATTGTTTCATGAGAGACATGCAATTTCGGGCCATTTCATGAGTGTGTTGCCTTGGGTTAGACTCAACAAGCATCTTCAGAGCATCAGTATCAATTCCAACATGTGAGCCCCTGCCATCAAAGTTTTTAAGGCTAAAGTCACCTGAACGAAATTTGCTGAAACATTGTTGACACTTACAAACATTCAAAACATTTCCATAAACTACTTTGATATTCTTTGTGGCTACAGAGGCATTGTTTTCCTTCTTGTATTCAAACAGCATTATATGCCAAATTTGTGTGTTGTTGTGTGCCATCACTATAAGGGATTAGAGTATACTAAACTTTACACATTATATATGTGATGTACATTTTTGGGGGATTGGTTAATGAAAGTGTTCCAAAATGCGACATTAATTTCTTGATGACCTAATAGTTTAATGACATTATCGAGAATGTTATAATTCAAAGTTTTATTCCTTTATTTTAAAAAGAAACCTCTAAAACAATAATGAAATATTCAATTTTCTTATCATGTGACATGCTCATGTTTAAAAATATCTTAGCTTTTCTGTTTTTTATTTCAACTATGCCATGACTTAGTACAGGTTTTGTCCAGACAGTCAAAGTACACACATATACTGCAAGTTTACCACTAACTAGGTTAAATTCCAAGAACTAAGTCCCAAGAGTGATATTGCAAAAAATGTTCTCCTCCACAAGTAGGAGCCACACCCACACACAATTAGAAAGGGATGTTGCTTAGCAACAGATTAAATTTGAATGGCATTGTTATAACCAATAGAAAGAGCAGATTTCAAAATATGTTTCCCATATGTTTTCTATGATCTCACACAATGTAAAAGTTGACTATTGAAGTGTATCTTGGAGATTGTTATCCGTAGGATAGATAGATAGTTGAATTGCATTTAGGTTTTACTTTTATATTTTAGTTAATTACGTATTATTTGTTTTTTAAAATTCATATGTGAAAAGTTTAATGATTTTTTATAATGTGTTTTATAAATAACCGAGTGCAAACTGACAAAGACAGTGTTATATAGCCTGTGGGGCAACCACAGACATGTGTGTCCACATGAATAATCAACAATAAAGAATAGTAAAGGAAAATAGAACATTAAAAGTAAATTAGAAGTGAAAAGGTAAAGATGAGAAATTATGCATATGGCCCAGAGAAGATATTCTAAGATTATTGAATGAAGAGTTAAAAGGTAAGTACATATTTCTATTTCTTAATTTTAAACATTCCTTTGCACTGTACATGAATGATAATAGCTAGAGTTAATGATATAGTAGAGAAAATGGAAAATAAAATATATATATTTACTTTAAAAAACTTTTGATATTCGTTTATGAAGTTCTAGAGATTATACAAATGAAATGTGAAAACTGTAAGATAAAAAATAGTATTTTTATACTTAACATGAAAAATCACCTTATGGGTGAACTATTTGGAGTGCAAGTGCAAATATCTATAATAAATAATGAATTTTTATTAGAAATAGTAGAAAAAAATCAAAATTTAATGTTTTGTTTTACTGAAACTACATACTTTTAGGAAAGTTCTTGTCAAATTTCAAACATTTTTTTCCATTAGTTTTATTTTTTGGAGTGCAATATGGTGAAAGCAACATTACCTACATACAATGTAAGAGGCTGGTAGTCATAGGGTTAAGCTATTTAGCATAAACACTTGTGGTATCTTGTTACAATTTTCAGTCATTTTAAAACAAAAAGGGTAATTTGGATTTATTTCCTAATTTTTTATGGTGGTTACAAGGTCAAATTAATGAACCCATATACAGTTGAGGTGATAAAATAACAGATAATATGTGAAGTTTTTCTAAAATTAAAGTTACTTGATAGTTACTTAGGGGGTTATAGAGTTTATGCAAATGAAATTTGACAACTTGTAGATGATAAAAAAGTATTTTAGATCTTAAAATTGAAATTACTTTGCATGCTGGGTATTCAACATTCCAAAAGAAAAAAATGATGAGTAAATCTTTAATTAAAAATCTTAATATTTAATTTTAAAAACAACTGATAATTTTTGTATGAAAGCCTTGTACTGTTTACTGATAATCTGCAACATTTTGTGAAGATAATGCATACATTATCAAAAGTTATAGTATGATTATTCTCATTGTTACGGCATGTATACCACTAACTAGGTTAATTTCCAAGAACCAAGTTCCAAGAGTGATATTGCAAAAAATATTCTGCCCCACAAGTAGGAGCCATGCACACACACAATTAGAAAGGGATGGGTTCTTCAAATCATGCTGAATTTGGATTAACATATTTTTTTTTTTATATTTCAGTTCATGTGAACGTCCTCGTGTTATTGAAACATTGAGAGGTAAAGAGGTAGTAGATATAGCCTGTGGTGGAGCTCATAGTGCTTGCATAACATCTGGTGGGGAACTCTACACTTGGGGGAAAGGTCGATATGGACGCCTTGGTCATGGAGACAGTGATGATCAACTTCGGCCTAAAAAGGTTGCTTTGTGTTCAAAAATGCTTATAGTTGTATGACTGAATAAGATTAACTCACTGCTTTGTTTTGAAATTTTCTGTTAAGACTAGTACTGTAACAAAGGTAAATTTTGTCCTTTGAAATTTCTGAATACATTACAGAAAAAAGGTTTGAACCTTTGATGGTTCAAACTTGTATAATTTACTGATGGAGTCTCCATAACCACTAGTTTATATCTGATTCAAAGCCTTCTCATTTTACATTTAATCCATCTAAATGAAATAAAACATACACATGTTGTTAGAAAGTATGCTATATACAGTAATAGTTTAAATAAGAATTAAAAAATCTGTTGTTTATAGACTTTTAGCTATATACAATAAGTTTGTATTGAAAGAGTACCCTACTGCAGCTGACTTAAGCAAAAAAAGAACTTTTGTTTAAGTCACTCCAAAAAGGTTAGAAGCCAGTATTTTTTTAACATAAAATTAATGATTAATTAAACAATCTGATAAAAATAATAAACAAAAAGCAGAACAGGCAGAGTGACACTGACAGCTTGACTAAAAACTAAATATGGACCTTCAGTTATAACAAAAAATTAGAGTGGTATTATTTGTCACATTTTTTTAATGACATTGTTGATTAATTAAACATATACCTTGGAGAAAGATGTCAGTCAAATGAATAAGTAATAATAATAAATTATAAATAAACAGCAAAACAGAACAGAGTAACAGTAACATTTTGGCTAGAAAATATAAAAGGACCTTTTTATGACTTGTACACTAGGTATTCAGTACATTTTATTGAAGTTATGCAGACTCTCAATGTACTCCTTTTTGCTTCACCAACATTTTGGTGGCATTTTTTTTATACAACTTTTGTTTAAGTAATGGGTATTATACTAAATGAAAGATAGAAATTTCCATGTCAGTGACATGTTATATATGATTACTATTCAAACACTGTTAAACATTTTCTATTTGCAATAGAAAAAAAAAAAGTCTTAAATGTTTAGAACTATCTTCAAATTCCTGGCCAAGGTGCAAACCTTCAAACACATCCCTAGTTATAACGGATTAAGATTATTTTGCTGCTTTGTTCTAAAATTTATAGTGTTATGACTGATTAAGATTACTTCATTGCTTTGTTCCAAAATTTATAGTGTTGTGGCTGTTTTGTTTTCAATTTTCTTTTTTTCCTGTGCAGTGGTTTATTAATTTTCCTGCATAACTGACAATTTTTTTTTCTATAAGAAGAAAATAATGTATTTATATGGTGGGAGAATATTTTATTTTTTCCAGGTAAAGTAGCACAACAAAGAATGTTTACAGTTAGCTGTTAAACAAATTATTAAGGGCACATATGAATATATGGAATATTTTCTATTTTCACCAGGTGGAAGCTTTAGCTAGTTTTTCAGTTACTGATGTGGCATGTGGTAGTGGAGATGCTCAAACTCTGTGTATTACCAGTGATGACAGTGTTTGGTCCTGGGGTGATGGTGATTATGGAAAACTTGGAAGAGGTGGTAGTGATGGTTCAAAGATCCCTTTAAAGGTTGAAGCTTTACAATCAATGGGAGTTATTAAAGTAGAGTGTGGTTCTCAGTTTTCTGTGGCACTGACTTGCTCTGGAAGTGTCTATACCTGGTAAGTAAACATTCAGTGTCATAAGATATATACACTTACCATTTTACTAGTAAGTTTGATTCCTTTCATAAAAATGGTGAAGAAAGGATGAATTATGTTCCTTTTCACTAAAAAGTCTTTAAAACCTGTAGTTATCAGTGCGTGTGTTAGTTTAATGATAAACGAACTCTTGTTACCTGCAGTGAATGCCATGAATCATAATGGATCATTTATTAAGGGCTGGGTAATGTTATCAGTGTGACTGTGAAGTATTTTATGTAATATGATATAATGATGAACCTGTTTGTAATAAAATGCTTTTGTAACCAACTGTTACTAGTTCACTCCACACTGTTAAACAATAGAGCACTTTGAACTAAACTTTAGTAGAATATGTATTTTCCTGTAATACATCATTTCAATTAGCCAGTTAAAATTGTTAAAGCTTGTTGGCATGCTTAAAGGTGTGTATACAACCTGTATCAAAAATTATTTTGTATAATACAAATAGGAATGTAATGCATGTTAACTCACCAAGATAATTTGGGACACTTCTTTCAGTACTGCTGTTGTGTAGTCGGTAACACAAAGATGGTTTGGCTACAAGATTTCAAACATGATATGCTTATAGTGCTCTGATAATGATATATTACTCTGGAATGATATGAAATTACCTTCACCATACGCAACTACTACCTTCATTATACTAAGCTTTTCCAAAATAGTGCTAAAGCAAAAACAAGTAATTCATTCAAATAATGGCAAAAATAAGCTTTTCATTTTGAATTTGTTTTATGCAGTACATGAATGGCAAAGCTTTGATTGCCTGTGATAATCATACAGATTAAAACCTTTTTTTTTTTGCTAAATGTTTAAATTGTTGTATGTATTTCATGAATGGATGGACTCAGGTTTTATAAATCCAAGAATGCAGGAAAGTTTGTAAGCATTAGTAATGCAGTTAGCTGGTGATTCTAGATATGCTTTTTGCCATACTCTAACAGTTGGTTAGAAATTAATTTTGACACTTTTTCTCTCATGCATACTGAAAGAAATGACTATTCCTTATGCTTTTACTTAAAAAAAATTATGGATAATTATTTGTTTTTTATATTGTAAATATTTGCAATTCAAAGATTTTTTATTTGAATCAATTTTACCATGTAATAATTTGTGTTATACTTATACTAGATTTGATTGAATTAACAGGGGTAAAGGGGATTACCACAGACTTGGTCATGGAACGGATGACCATGTTCGTCGTCCCAAGAAAGTGACAGCTCTTCAAGGCAAGAAAGTTACGTCTGTAGCAGTTGGGTCACTCCATTGTGTGGCATGCACTGATACAGGTCAGTTCACTTCTGATTGTTACATTATGTAATGTTAAAACTTTGTTTTTGTCAACATGCTGTTACATTAGTCTATCTTTATGAATTATCAAGTTATTTTGCTGATTACATGATATGTTCATTATGAAATAAAACAGTTTCTATAGTATTAAAGCTTGTAATATTGTGAATTTAATTAGACTTCTTGATGATTTACACTGTGATTCTTTCTCAACTAAGTTACACTAACTGATACTTCCAATATGGTGCATTACCTCTTCTCACATAAATAGCTATTCTCTTTTAGTGCTGCCTTCTATATGCAAAGAAGCCTTTTATCTCCCCTCAATTGGAATTGACTGATTCCAGCATGTCTCTGATACAAATCATCATGTGCCATCCATGTGGGTGTTTTGGATTGTAGTTGACTTACCACCAGTATGATTCTCTTTCCTACCCCTACATGGATGCTGGTTCCCGGTGGCTGGGTTTTGTATTGTAGTTGACTTACCACCAGTATGATTCTCTTTCCTACCCCTACATGGATGCTGGTTCCCGGTGGCTGGGTTTTGTATTGTAGTTGACTTGCCAGTGGTATGATCCTCTTTCTTACCCCTACATGGATGTTGATTACCGGTGGCCTGGGTTTTTTATTGTAGTTGACTTGCCAGTGGTATGATCATATTTCCTACTCATGTTGGTTACCGGTGGCCTGGGTTTTTTTATTGTACTTGACTTGCTAGTGGTATGATCCTCTTTCCTACCCATACATGGATGTCAGTTCCTGGTGGCTGGGTTTTGTATTGTAGTTGACTTACTGTTGGTAAAATGCTCATCTTACTCCCACGTGGATGTTGGTTCCCAGCAGCATAGATTTTGGATGTAGTTGACTTGTATGGTCTGTTGCACCCTAGCCACTCTATACCTAGAACACATACTTTTTCATTTTACCCACTTTTATATTTTCTGGGATAGAGTTTCATAAATATTGTATAGTTTGATAACTATCCAACCTTAGTTCTCTCCCACTTGGATGTATCCTCTGTTTTTCTGCCCATATATATGACATCTTTCTCTGATGGGCAAAGAGTATACCTGGTTCAGAATTGGTGTGGTCCCCCACATCAGATCTTAGAATCTGTCTCATCTTAGGGAGTGTCCTTTGGATGCTTCTTTCTTTCTCTCACACCAGTCCCTCCACCTGTTCAATGTGGGATTCTAGCTATTTATGTGAGAGGTGGTAAGTACCTATCGGAAATACATTTTTAGTATAGGAAAGTTATAAACTTCCTTAAGTTTAAATGACGATTCTGTCGTGGGTATCTAGAACTAGAAGAAAACATATATATATTTAAAAAGAAGCACCATTCATATTACATTTTCATTGTATTTCTTATAGGAGAGGTTTTTACGTGGGGAGATAATGATGAAGGCCAGCTAGGTGATGGAACAACCAATGCTATCCAGAGGCCACGACTTGTGACTGCTCTTCAAGGTCAGTAAAATGCATTATCATTTTGGCAATAGTTAGAGGGAAGAAAGAATGACTGACTTTTACTGTCCAGGTAATAATAAAAATTTGTTTCAGCCAATGTATTGCCCTTGCAGCTTAATAAGGGCTAGTAGTACAAGTTTTTGTACTAGCTCTGATGAATCCACAAGGGTGAAATTTTGATTGAAATAAAGTTTTTATTATTATGTGGAGATTATAGATTTTTTTTTCTCCAATATTATTATCCAAATGTCTAAACTTCTCCAGTATGCATTATGTAAGACATACATGACTGTTTAAGTTTAATGCGAGTGTTATGATTTAGATAGTTTATATAGTGTAAGTGCTAAATCTAGTTATTTTTAGAAGCGATAGTTTATCACAAGCTTGTATACATAATTGTTTACTGTTGTTCAGTTGTTATGAATTGATGATTGTTATGTTATTATGCCATGTTACTAGAAAATTTTGAGTTTTTCTTGTTTTAATTAAGTTATATTGCATCATAATATCTAGTAGTGTGTGGAACATTCTAGACCTCTGTTGGGGTATAAATGTATGTTGAAACTGTAATTCAAAAGCTAGGTCTAAACTGAATGATTGTGAGTTTCGCCATAAAGAATGTATAGTGGCAATTTTTAAAGTAAAAGTATCACAGACTGTATTGTAATAACAAAGCAGAAAGAATAATTTGTCTAGTCAAATTGTATTCTGAAGTAACTGAACCAGTTATTTAAAGTTCTGGATACAACTGTAATAACCAACAGTGTAACAAACATTTGTATGTACCTTATATACCTTTGACTTGTTTTGGTATATTATTTCAAAACAAGTGGACTGTGTTGCTGTTTGTTTATTATTGAAATTTATTGCCAACAAGTCACAGACACCTATTGTAAAGAATCAGGCCCATACAAAACACTTGACAGTGGCAAGCCATCCAGGATCTATAGTGGTAAATGATGGTAAAAGTAAACTTAAGCAACAACAGCAAATAGGCCTATATATACGCACAGCTGTAGTGATGTTGAAAATATTGTAGAGGTCACAACCACACAATATAACCATGTTGACTGACTTTGATAAGTAGATAGAGAAGGCCGAGCGACTTGGGCTCAAAGATAGTGATCTACCTTCAAAAGTTTTTAAACAACAGCAAGAGAAAGAAGAAAAGAAGAGACTGGAAATAGAGAGAATAAAAAACAAATTGAGACTGCCAGCTCACTCAACAGAAAGACAGAGGACCCAAGAATGACAATAGGGTCAAGGCCAGCCGACCCAACCTCCCCAAATCTGGTAAACAGAAAGATGACATGGATGCTTTCCTGGAGGGGTATGAAGATTTGCTCAAAGTCAGAATGGGGACAAAGGTGACTAAACAGTTTGTCTCGCCCTCCTTCTTACAGGAAAAGGCCTATATGTGTATGCAGGCAAGACATCAGAAGATGGTATGGACTATGACAAGTTAAAAGTGGTCATGCTGAAATGCTATGAAGCTACCAAGGAATGTTTTCACTAGAAGTTCAGAGAAGTCAAACCTGACACTGGAGAAACTGTATCCAAGTTTTCGGCACATCTATGGCAATACTTCAGAAGGTGGATTGGCAACTAATAAGTGAACAGTCATGATCCCTGATGTGTCACTGTTCCTAAAAGAGAGAGAGCATCAAAAGACATGTACAAGATGATCAAGCTGGCACAAAAATATATGGAAGCCCATGGAGGGAGTACAACTGGCAAGTCCAAGAATAACCAGTCAGAGTTGAAACAAGGGGTGGCTGACCAGAAGGAGGATGCCACCAATGGTTACAAGAAGTCAACAGACAAAAGGAGAAGAGATGCTATGCTTGTTATAAAATGGGGCAGATTGCGAGTGAATGGAAGTCTGTCACCAATAAGTAACTGGAAAAATCTCAACATGAAGCAACTGGAGCTACATACAAAGATGATGCTGGCAAAAAACAAGAAAAGAGTGATTGTCATCTTGGATGCTGCTACCAGAAGAAACAGAATAAAGACAACTCATCAGATTCACCACAAGAAGGAAGTGCTATTGCCATAACTAAACAGGTCAACTGTGCCAGTGATGATTGGAGCATGTGACAAATATTGAGAGGTGCCAACAAATTACAACATGCCAGTTGGTGAAGGCTATGTCAGGGACAAGAAAGTGAAAGTCCTATGAAACACTGGGTGCAGCAGTGAGAACCAGTCGAGTATCTGATGGCTAGATGATGGGCAAAGTACATCTATGTGTGCTGTTTGATGGAACAGTAAGAAACTTTCCCATCGCAAGAATAAAGGTGGACACTCCATACTATGTGGGAGTCCTTGAGGCCATGTGTGATTGGTAATATACCAGGCAGTAGAAGTTTAGAGGAACCAGACAGAAAGGAGACTGATGAGGCATTTGTAGTCACCACAAGAACTCAATAAAAGAAAAGCAACCACCCCATACAACCCTAGATGTACTTTATGAAAGAGCCAACTGAAGGAGATATGCCAGGAGAGACCACTTCACTGGGACAAGTACCTGCAGGCAGTATTATTTTCTTACCAAGAAGTCCCACTAGGAGGAGACCTGTCAACTTGCTTGAGAAAGTTTGTATGAAGTTCAAGGCAGTCAGAAGCACTTCTGTGACAAGAATGCCAAGAATCGACATTTCGAGGTCGGACTAAAAGTCTTGGTTCTGCTATCCACAGATAAAAGCAAAGTCATCCTGCAGTGGAAAGGACCTTTTGAAGTGCAGGAAGTGGTCAACAAAATGGACCATAAGGTGAAAGTGGACAGGAAGACTCAGATCTACCACACCAATCTGTTGAAGAGGTACTCTGAGAGGGAAGAAGACCTAATAGGTGCAGCTGTTGAAACACAGACAGACATTGTAGGTGTCGCTTTCATAGATGCAGAACCAGAATATGGTGACTTTGTCGTAGAAGATGAAGCCCTACCAAATGCCCTATGTGATGAGAGACCCAATCAAGCAAGAAGTCAAGATAATGTTAGAAGCCGGAATCATTGCGCCTTCGATTTCAACTGACTGTGTTCTAAAGTAATTAAACCAGCCTGTGTGGACTTTGATAAAAAATAATTATTCTTTCTGGATACAACTGTGATAACCAACAGTTATAGCAGTGATTTTAAAGTGAAATTATCACAGACTTTACTGTAATAATAGAGTAGAAAAGGATAATTTATCTTGTGAGTTGTGTTCTGAAGTAATTGAACTAGACTGTGAGGTTTTTGATGAAAAAGAGACAATTATTTAAAGCTCTGGATATAACTGTGATAACCAACAGTGTAACAAACATTTGTATATACATTTGACTTGTTTCAATATATTATTTTAAACCAAGTGGACTGTATTGCTGTTTGTTTATTGTTGAATTTTATTGCCAACAAGTCACAGACACCTACTGTAAAGAATCTGACCCATTCAAAACACCTTACACATTACAATTCTGAAAAACAACAAAATATGCTATCAAATTAAAACTCCTTCATGTACAATAAGTGTGAAGTGATGAATTTGTGTGGATTGGTTTCCTGTGATTTATTTGTGATATAAAAGAAGAAATAGAGACAAAATGCATTTTATAGTGTATTTCATTATGTTATAAGGAGAGGAATTTTATATTTTTTTGCTCCAGTTTTAAAAGAATAGATATCATAGGCACTAACAGAAAATACCATTGCCATTTTTCTCCACAATGGTTCTTTAGCTTTAACCTTTAATATTAATGGGACATAAGTGTTTGAAAATTGTATAGAAACATCCTATATCTGAAATAAAACATGCTAAGTTCATATGTCTCTCCCAGGAAAAAAAATCAACAGAGTATCTTGTGGGTCAGCTCACACCATTGCCTGGTCAACCTGTAAGCCTAGCAACTCTGGACGCCTTCCCACTTCTGTTCCTCTAGAATATGATCATCTTCGAGACATAAAAATCTCTGTGCTGAGAAATCGCTATGCTCTGCTATATCACTTTTCAGAGCTCTTCTGTCCAGCTATACCAATGTTTGACCTTTCTTCTAGCAGAATTCAAGGAAATAATACAGATGGCCAAGGTCAAATGACATTGTTGTCTGGAATAGATAACTTAAGAGGACTCCTAGTCTCAGCTGGCAAGGTTAGACTTCAATAATAAAATAATGTTTAGTGATACTTTTTCTGCTTAGAAAACCAGGAAATATAACATGACTGAAAGTATTAAAACTACATGCTAGTGAACTAAAAATATTATATCTGTATTAGATAATGGTCAACAAATGGCATCAACGATTATAAGTACTACCTTTTTTATTAGATTATTTGGTTTAAACCAATATTTTCTTTAGATGAAATGTAAACAACAGCTGTTTTGGAGGATTTTGCAAATTATTTTATATATATTATTTTCACATATACTTGAGTCTAATTATTTAGGAGTTTAATTTTGTGATGTTTTTGATAGAAGTTTCACAGAAATACATACTTATAAAAACTTAATTTTTTTAACTTATTATGAAATGTCAAAATTAAAACAATTGTTAGAGTAGCACATGAAGAATCATAACTATTTTATCCATATTACTTAAACTAGAAAAATATTTTTTTTATATTTTAGTTATAAA